CCCCAAAACCCCAAAACCCCAAAACCCCTTTTAATGTGGAAATTATTGATTTATCTATTGGCCAATATTCTTCCCTTAAAACTATGAAGACCAGAACTTAAGATCTTCTAGCCAAGCCTCGTACATTTGAATGTCACAGACGTCACTAAATCTTTCTACAAAGCTTTGTACTATTCCTTCATGACTCTCTTCATACATCTTATACTCAACCTTTCCCTCTGTATTCAACACTAAATTATGTTCTAGTTCTAGTCTTCTGGGGGCTTTATTGTCAAGTGCAATTTGTCTAAGTTTCAAAAAGTAATCATCAACCTTCATGTAGTTTCCAAACCATTCTTTGGCTGTATCGTAGTCACCCACACATTTGAGGATGTGTAACTTATTCAAAAACTTCTTGATAGCTTCATGACCTTCAGTTCTAAACTTATCTCTATTGAGGTTGACATAAAAATATTCCTTTCCATCTTTTTCAGTCAGCTCAACATCAACAACACCATCAGCTTCAAAAAGAACCTTCATAATGACATAATTCCCAATAACGTGGGCTTGTCCCCACTCATCAGTCTGGTCGTTATAGTATATGAGTCCAAAGAATCCTCTGTTAACGACAGAGTACCACATGGCATACTCAATGTCTTCCCACTCTTCTTCTCTCCCCTCGAACAAAATGTTGTAGGGTTCTTTGAAGTGAGAAAGATACATTGCAACTGTGTCTGCTCTACATTCTTCATATGCAGAATGTAGCTTCTTGAACTTGCTCATCCAAGTCTCGTTTGACATGTACCATGTCTCAATCTTCTCCCCAGTCAGAGGGTTTACCAAGTTGTCTTTGTCAAAATTAAATTCTTTAGTATTGACATCCTGTATGAAGAGTTTTCCGGACCCATGTCCCAGAAGTTCATGGAGTGCTACCTTTAAATCAAGGGCTTCTTTGCTATATTTGGATAGTAATTCACACATATCCTCATGAGCAAACTGCACTGTCTTTGAAGACATCTTTGGAACAGCATTTGTCAGGGTATAATTTTTAAATCCGTGTGTATCTCTAATATCATCATAGTTTGGAAGATTCTGACCTAATGGTGCTCCTGAAGAAGCATGTGTGATCAGCTTTAAACTAGTGAAATCAGGTTTCTTAAAAACTTCCTTTTCAAAATCTTTATTCCAAGGGAAATACTCTAAAAGTTTCTCTGCATTATCAACAAGTGTAGTATAAAGTTGACTTTCTTTATTTATCAACTATAGCACACAAGCCTTCGAATTCAGCCCTATTTCCAGATGGATCCAAATAAGTTTCCTGGAAACCCATCTCAAACTCTATTGGAGGATTCTGATCTTGCACCCAATTGATCATGGCTTCTCTGAAGTAACTCTCTTCTCCAGTGATGAAATGTTTTATGTAATTATCTATGATAGTCTTTTGCCTATCATTTTGAACATAGTACTTCGCAAACTGAAGACTTTTTACGATATCTTCAAACACAAAATCAAGATGGCCTCTGACAATTTTGATTTTGACTCCCTCATATTCATGATCTTTTATATAATTCCCATCTGGAGTTCTTTTAGTTGAATGAATCTTCAATTCAAATGACCCATCTGAATTCTTCAGCACTCTTGTGTTTAGAGGAGTAACTACATGCTTGAATTCTGGTTGATTACTGATAAATCTATCAACAAGCTCAGCATCTTCCTTAGTAATGTTTGAGGAATAATAGGCAGAGGATCCTCCTTTGTCTGAAAATCCTATTTTAGCATGAGGATCTTCCTCTGAATATACTAAATCCTTGATCTTCTCCCAGATAGTATCGCAAATGTCTTTGTATTCTTCATAGAAAAATGAGCAAGTGATGGCTGTATAGAATTTATCTTCTGGAAGCTCAGGAACAAACTTTGTATCTCCAAAGCTTTTAAAATTTCCAGCATTAGCTAAGCAAGATGCGCAATACACAACCAGTTGGTCCCATTCATCTTGACTTAGCCCTGCTTGAACAGCTCTTTGCTTTGTATCCTTAGTACCAGATCCAAACATAATTTTGATTAAAACCAACAGAGCAGGGGATTCGTAAGATCTTTCAAAAGTGCAGACTTTATATCCAGCCCAGCAAGCCTTTGAAAAGTAGTAACAAAACTTCTTCTCCTTCTCACTAAGTAGCTGGAACGCATCGTTGCATTCAATGTTAACAATAGGAGTGGCAGTAGAAATAACCTCTTTGGGGCAGTAAGTATCCATATTTTTCAAAAAATAATTATGAATAAGGGGTTTTGGGGTTTTGGGGTTTTGGGG